CCTGCACATGCCACACTGGGGATCGAGCCTGCAACCCAGGCATGTGCCTTGATCGGGAATTGAACCATGACCTCCTGGTTCACAGGTCAATGCTCAACCACTGAGCCAGGCTGGCTGGGCTCTTTTTCCCTTTTCAAGAGCATTGAAGACCACAAGATAGGAAGATTATGTAATAAGCCTTTTTTATCTTATCTTCAATTTTTTCTGTCTTTTAGTGTCCTTGAAGTAGAAAAGTCTCTGGTATTAGCAGAAAAAGGCAGCCTAGAGGATAAGGAAAATGAAGTAGAGCTGTTGACTGCTGGGAAAAAATTCCGTATCTTAGCAACCATGAACCCAGGGGGCGACTTTGGAAAAAAAGAGGTATAACTATGTTCTTGAAGTATACTTTTGACCATATCTTGTTGGCACCCTTAAATGCAGTATGTAAAAATACATTTGGAATTTTTATGTTGGATATAAACTGGGTAAAAGGTAAAAATCAAGAAAGATATTTTAGGATTATTATAAGGTTGGAAAATAATTCTGACAGATAAACATTTTTTTATTTGACATCTCACTTTGCGTATGTGCCTGAAATTTCATTCTTCCAGTCATTTGCACAGTTCTTTACATATGTTACTATAATAAATTCTCAAAAGACTCTGAGAAAGTTAATCTACTTTTGTGGATGAGAAAAGCTGAGACTGAAATTCATCTCCACCTCTGCTTCTACAGTCTACTCCCTTAAACACGAGTGTGCTTTATGAGTGACTTTAAAGTCCCAAAAAAGAAATGCCAGCCAAGAACCTCTTTTGGTTTTGCAGGTGGAACATGTGTATCTGTTCTCTAAAGCAGCGGGCACCAACCTTTTGGACCTCACAGAACACCGGTTGGCGACCATTGCTCTAAAGCAGTGGTTCGCAACCTGTGGGTCACGACCCCTTTGGGGGTTGAACGACCCTTTCACAGGGGTCACCTAAGACCATCGGAAAACACATATATAATTACATATTGTTTTTGTGATTAGTCACTATGCTTTAATTATGTTCCATTTGTAACAATGAAAATACATCCTGCATATCAGATATTTACATTACGATTCATAACAGTAGCAAAATTGCAGTTAGGAAGTTGCAACGAAAATAATTTTTTTTAAACATTTTATTGATTTTTTACAGAGAGGAAGGGAGAGGGACAGAGAGTTAGAAACATCGATGAGAGAGAAACTTCCATCAGCTGCTTCCTGCACACCTCCCACGGGGGATGTGCCTGCAACCAAGGTACATGCCCTTGACCGGAATCGAACCTGAACTCCAGTCCGCAGACCGACGTTCTATCCACTGAGCCAAACCGGTCAGGGCACAACGAAAATAATTTTATGGTTGGGGGTCACCAAAACCTGAGGAACTGCAAAGGGTCGCAGCATTAGGAAGATTGAGAACCACTGCAAAGGATTCTGTGGGTCACCTCAGAATGTTAGAAAGAAAAGGCTGCAGATGGTTTCTTCTCTTTGGAGGAGGGTTTTAGGATCCAGCCAGGATCTAAACATCTCAAGTCCTGGGATTTTAGGCTCAAAAAGCTTCTCAGTGGAGGAGTCTGCATTAATTTGCCCGTCTGGTTAGCTTAAGTTTTAGCCAAAGATTGCCAACTTTTATTTTGCATGTCTAGCAAAAAGATAGGATTCTGAAGACCTGAGGCATTTCTTATCTAGGCTGACGATGAGGAACACTCTTGTGTTCCCTGGGTCTTTATTTTTATTTACTTTTTATTGATTGATTTTAGATGGAGGAGGGGAGGTAAAGAGAGAGAACATTGATTTGTTGTTCCACTTATTTATGCATTCATTGGTTGCTTCTTGTATGTGCTCTGATTGGAGATCAAACCTGCAACCTTGGCGTACTGGGACGATGGTCTAACCAACTGAGCTACCCGGACAACTCTGGGTCTTCATTGAGTGCTCCTGGTCCTGTTGTGGTAGACTAGACAGTGGATGGAGTTTATTGTCAAGTAAAAGGAAAGTGATGGTAAACAGAGAACTACATGCATATGCCATTGCAAACTTTTGTGAATAGAGGTTAACTGACCTAGGGAAAGGGTAAGAAGGGTAAGAGGAATCAGGGTAGAGACCCTAAGACTGGAGGGACTAAACAATTGTTTGTTACACAGCAGATAAAATATATACCTCATAATTGTACTCTGAGCCACATAGAAGCTATCTCTTTCTACTTCAGACAGTTCTCCCTATGGGAAGATAGCATTATTTTTTCTAAAGCATTGGTTATGTAACTACAGGTAAAATAAAAGAATGGTCTTTGCTTGGGGGAAGGTGTTCAGGATAGGGAGGTGTCCAGATGGGCTCGAGTCCTATTTGTACCGCTTACACTCTGCATGACTTTGAAGCTCTGTACCATGTCTATCAAGAAAGTGATGGGTTGAAAAGTGTGATGGAGATTATTGAGATGACATAGAAGGAGCCAGGACAAAATAAGTCTTCAGTAAATTGCAACTAGTAGTTGAGGGTAATAAAAGAAGCATCTGGTACTTGTCAGACTAACAGCTAATATTTTTTGAAATGATTTATTTTCTAGCTTTTCTCAAAGGTACTACATTCACATTACAGTTTGTGTTCCTTACAGCTGTCTCCTGCCTTAAGAAACCGGTTTACAGAAATATGGTGCCCTCAGAGCACAAACCGTGAAGATTTAAAACAGATAATCAGCAGTAATCTTCGTCCAGGATTGTCTCTGGGCAGAATAGATCATAAAGGTGAGGGTTTTTAGGTGGTGGTGGTAATGGGATGGAGGGGCTGTGTGTTGAAAATGAGAGATGTGGTATAGAACATTAGCAGTATGTATATATGGTGTATTATAAGGAGAAGGGGAGTTAGAGAAATAGGAACAAAATAGACCTAAGGAAATGATACTAACCTATTACCATCTATTAGATTGTCCCTTCTTCCCATTGCCTCCTTCACCAGGGTTGTTAAATTCTACCTTCCTTACTGTTTCACCTGTTACATAAAGATGAGGAAAATTTTACTTAAATTTTAGTCATTTTCACCTTTAGAAAATGTTCATAGAATTTTTTTTTTTTTTTCAGGTGATCATCATAGCCGGGTTCTCTTGTCAGGGTCTCCAGCCAGGGTCTGTAGCCAGTTCTCCAGCCAAGTTCTGTCTAGGATCTCCAGCTAGGTTCTGTAGCCATGTTCCCTCGCTAGGTTCTCCAGCCAGGTTCAGTCACCCGGTTCTAGTCAGATTGTCTTGCCATGTTCTATCCAGGTTCTGTAGCCAGGTTCTGTCTCTAGGATCTTCAGCCAGGTTCTCTCGCTAGGTTCTGTCTCTAGGTTCTATTGCCAGTTTCTGCCCAGGATCTTTTGCCATGTTCTCTCCAGCGAAGTTCTTATGTCTCTAGGTTCTGTGTAGGTTCTGTGTCTAGGTTCTGAGTAGGTTCCTGCTCATAGAATTTTATTTGTTGTTAATCCTCACCCAAGGATATTTTTTTTTCCATTGATTTTTAGAGAGAGTGGAAGGTAAGGGGGAGAGAGAGAAAGAGAAATTTCGATGAGAGAGACACATCGATTGGTTGCCTCCCACTCATGCCCAACTGGGACCGGGGATCAAACCTGCAACCCAGGTACTTGCCCCTCTGTTATGTGGTCTGATGCTCTAACCACTGGGAACACTGGCCAGGACTAGATAATGTTCATGGAATTTTAAACCGCATTTCTTTAGTTGTCACCAGCTAATTTATAATTATTAAAAAGTATTTTATGAAAAATTTCAAACATAAGGAAAATAGAATAGTATTAAAAAAAAACTCCCACATGCATAAACCTAGATTTAAGAATTCTTAAGATATCCAGTAAGAGTCAAAACGTTTATGTGGTTCCTTTTTTTTTTTTTTTAGAGTTCTTAGCTTATTAATCATCTAATGAAAAATCTACACAATCACCACAGATAACATCGCTGAAGAACCTTTACTCCTTTTTGCCAGCTCCAACACTGGCCTTTCTGCTCCTCCTGACTTCGTTCATTCTGTTCTTGTGTTCCTTTCTCTGCTTTTTGAGGTTTTCTTCTTATACAAGGCCATGTCTTGCAAGTCTTATGTTTGGGTTCATTTTTCTTTGCGGAATCACAAATCATGCCAAAGCCAGGATGGGTTTGCCACCATCAAAATATGTTCTGAATTCAGATGCAAAGATGACATCTGGTTTGGTCTCATACATTTTGACTAATTTTTCCTGAATTTCTGTGTTAGGTACTATTGCCTTCCAAGGGTGAAGGACGTCAATGGCTGTTTGCACTGAAATAGCCTGTTGGTTAGGAACTTCCTGATCCAGATAATTACTGTGTTGTTCATGATAGTGGCCAGTCTCCAAGCAGCCAGGGAAGAAGAGCATGGGGTTCTTTTTTAATTGAGCCTAGATTGATTTGATACATATATTTTTAAAAATTTTTATTAGGATACGATTGACATACAACATATTAGTTTCGGGGTACAACATAATAATTTGATATTTGTATGTATTGTGAAATGATCACTACAATAAGTATAGTTAATGTCTGTCACCATGATATATATATACATGTATCCTTGAGTTATTTCTAAAAGTGGAAATGAAGATCTTCAGAGATCCCATTTATTATGGCCAGCTTCTCCAGAATGACATTTGTATTCCCAGTGCTGTCAGCAGCTTAGCCTGCTTGGCATAGTCCTTCCAACACGGAGCTTTCATTTTTAAATCTATTATTTTATCCTTGTTAATTTAATGGATATTCTAAAATTCCATTTTCTTTCATTATTAGTGACATGGAACATTTAAAATATGTCTGGCATATTTTAAAAGAAATATTAATCATCTTATATGTTAGTATTCATTATGTATTTTTGGATAATATTCTTTATTACATTTATCACACAGGTTTCTGTATTATGTTACCTCTTAATATTTGTTGTAAAAAATACATGAACCCATCTACTTTATCACTGGTGATCTTTGTGTTTAATAGTCATGGTTTAATTCTTTGCTAACAATGGATAAAGTTATCCATTTTTTATTAAGTCCTTGATGTACCTCAAATTTATTTCACTCTGAAATGTGGATCCAAGTACTCATTGTTCCTAGACTTTTTAAGTTCCTTTTAAAGATGTGTGGGGTTTTTTCTAATTAGTATTTTTTTTCTGACCAATTAGTTTTTTTCTAACCAATTCTCAGTGTAGCCTTGAAGAATGTTGTTGAATAGTCTGTTTATATTATAGCAGTGTAAATTCCTCCTCATCGTATTTTCTTTTTTAGAAAATATTCTATGGCATTTATACTTTTTAGGTAGCTGTTTACTATTTATTTCATAAGTTATATATAGAGTGCTCTAAATTTAATTGGCCTTGCTTTCATCTATATATAACTGCTTAAGTAGTTTATTTTCAAATATTTTACAGCATGAAATTATAAGTAGAATAGCCATTTAAATACCTAAATAATGAAATAAAATGTATAAATTTTGTAATTTACTGAATTCTGATTGTTGCATTGATTTAAGAAAACCAAAAGTCTGAACTAAATGGCCCTAAAAATGTGGGATTTCCCATTCTAGGGAATCATTTTATAATATAGTAAAATTTGTATATTTTTCTAAGATCTTTGTGTCTTAACTTCAAAATTGTGTCTAAATATGAACCAAATGAATATTTCTTTGAGTTTTCAGAGTGTAACTTTTATCTAGACTATAATACCCATGTATTTTTGTAAAACATTTTTGTATGTGTAGAATTATATTTATGACCCCTCTGGAATGCAATAAGAGCTATGGAAATCCCCCCCTTAGAAGAAACATTAATGTGAATTCACAGAGATTTGCAGATAATCCACGGATCATAGAGTCACTTTAGGCCATCTGTTGGCCCCAGATTACAAGCCCCCTGTTTTAGGTGTTCCTAAGTGGTAAATACTTGCTTCCTTGTGTTGTAGGGGCTGACATAGCTGAAGTGATGCTGGATTTCATTGACTGGCTGACCCACCAGGAATTTGGCCGAAGGTGTGTGGTCAGTATCAGAGATATCCTGTCCTGGGTTAACTTCATGAACACAATGGGGGAGGAAGCTGCTTTGAAAAGGCCAGAGACCATCTCCACTGTGACAACTTTTGTCCATGCTGCATGCCTGGTGTACATAGATGGAATAGGTTCAGGTATGTTGTCTGTTAGCTGGTGGAACAAGGGGTTAGGGTAAAGCGGAGGATGAAATAGAGCAAGTCCAGACCTCTTACCCAGATACTTTATAGAATCACTTACTCTAACAAGATGGCTTTCTTGTGTGCCCTTACTCCAAGGCACAAAATGGCTTTCCTTTTCTTTCTACTCCTTTTGAGATGTGGTTGGTATAAAAGATATGCCAAAAACTTCTCATTACTTATAGGCAAAGGACTTAATAACCATGAAGTGGTGATTCTGAATAGAAAGAATGCTGTTGGAAATGCCCTTGCTCTTGAAGGACTGGATAATTTTTTTTAATATCTATATCTTACTGATTTTTTATAGAGAGGAAGGGAGAGGGATAGAGAGTTAGAAACATTGATGAGAGAGAAACATTGATCAGTTGCCTCCTGCACACTCCCTACTGGGGATGTGCCTGCAACCAAGGTACTGCCCTTGACCGGAATTGAACCTGGGACCCTTCAGTCCGCTGGCAAATGCTCTATCCACTAAGCCAAACCTATTAGGACTAACATCAGCCTTTGATCAACTGCCTCCTGAAGCCCTCCACCGGGGTTTGAATCTGCAAACCCGGACATGTGCCCTGATTAGGAATCGAACCCGCAGCCTTTAGGTACACAGGATGATGCCCAACCTACTGAGCCACACCAGCTAGGGCAAATAAAATAGTTTCTTTTAGGAGTCACTTCCTCTGGGTTTGGTACAGCCCTCTTGGCTCGCAAAGAATGTCTGAAATTCCTAATCAAGAAACTTTCCAAGATAGTCCGACTTACAGAATGTCAGAAAAGTGAATTAAAGATTTATGACAGGCTCAAAGCCAAGGAATTCACTGGAATAGATAATCGTTGGGGAATTCATCCATTTTTTATACCAAGAGGTAAGGATGATTGTAAATAAATGAAGATTCTCTTCTTATATATCATAGGTTCTTGACTTTTACTATGACTTTTTGTTTTATTCCATCATACTAATCATGATTTTTGAACTAGTTATCTGAATTAGAATCTGACTTGGCATACCCTTGATTGTGAGTAGTTAACATATGAGTTGGCATGTAAAAGTAGGGTAAAAGATAGTTTTAATCTATGAATAAATTGTCTTATAAAAACGCATTTGTTTATTATTTGGTGCTCAAAAGAAGAGCTTTCCTATAGTAACAATTGAGTCCATATATTCCAATTATAGAAACACTTTAAAAAAAAAATAGTTTTGCATATCCTTGAGGGCAGGTTTGTATCACTTAACTGTCCCTGGCGTCTGATATGCAGACTAGCAGTCAGTCATAGGCATTCAGAAAATGTGTTGATTGAATGAATGGATGAACAAATGATTGATTAAATGGAAAATGAAGGTGATGCATCCTGAATTGTCTTGGTGGCCTGAAAACCTTGGATGAAATTGTTTAATATGGCACCACCTATCCCATATGTCTAGTTTACACTTGACTTTTAGAAAACTACCTACTTATAAAGGTAAATTGTACAAGTACCTGCAGTATTTCCAGGTATAGGTTGTGATAGGTCCAGCTTTCCTATGTGGTAGTTATATGTATAGGTAGAAGAGATGGAGAGATTTGTGCAGTAGACACAATTAAGGAACGCATGCTTCTGGCTATTCCGCTAAAGCATTTTATGGGCCCCAAAGTGGGGAAATGTTGAAACAGGGCTAAGCATTTTTACCACAGATGGCATCTCACTTACTGATAGTCTACTTGGTGGATTCTCATAATCTTGGGTTGACGTGTATATATGATTTGGTGATGTCCAGCTTAAATATGTGGATTTTTTTTTTTCTCCTCTTAAGGACCTATCCTTCACAGGAATAACATTGCGGACTATGCACTCAGTGCTGGCACCACAGCTATGAATGCCCAGAGGCTCTTAAGAGCTACAAAACTGAACAAACCCATTCTCCTGGAAGGCTCCCCTGGTGTGGGCAAGACGAGTTTGGTGGGAGCATTAGCAAAGGCTTCGGGCAACACTCTTGTTCGAATCAACTTATCAGAGCAGACGGTAAGCTCAGTAGTCCTACAGCTGATGAGGACAAGTATAGGGAGTAATGTTTGTATCTGCTTATAATCTAATCAGGAAGAGTGATGACATTTTCAGTATCCCAAATACTTCATGGCTATGAAAGATCACAGCAACGTGACCTTCCAAAATAATTATTTTGAATTCATTATGAAATATGTAATAATATTCACTCTGCTTTATTCTAACTCCTTTGAGAATTACCCACTTCAGTATTTATTGTAATACTAGAGGCCTGGTGTACGTGCACTGGTGGGGTCCCTTGGCCTGGCCTGCTCCCTCTTACAATCCAGGACCCCTCCAGGGATGTTGGAGAGCCGCTTTCAGCCTGATCCCTGCAGGCCAGGCTGAGGGACCCCACTGGTGCACGAATCCATGCATCCGGCCTCTAGTATGCATATAACATCTTTGGTTAATCTCTTGCTGCCTTTCCCCTTCCCCCTTCCCTCTGAGATTCATCAGTCTGTTCTATGTTTCCATGCCTGTGCGTTGAGCATCTGCCCCCTGGTGGTGATTGCACATCATAGCTGCCGGCTGGTTGGCTAGTCACAGGCTTTTATATATATAGATAACCTCTTTTTATTTTTGTCCTTTCTAAAATAAAAGTTAGTAGAAATAAAATGATCTTTAAACAACCTTATGAAAATGTGTAAGAGAGATGACAAATTAAATGAGAATCTCTTGGAATGGGGTCTGAGAGCAGGGCCTGGGCATTGTTGTTAGTTTTTATTTTGTTTTTTTTGGTGTGTTTTTTAAAGTTTGCCAATTAGTTTCCAAGTACAGCCATAGTTGAGAACTACTGATGTGGAGCTCCAGCTCCAATTGATGTATACTTGGAGCATTGTGATGAGAAGGTTCTTGGGGCACGTCTGGGATCCTGGTAAAGAATGCTGGGAGTAATTAGTTCTGTCTTGGGAGTAAGAAGGAAAAGTGGCACAAAGCACAAGTATTTATCATTTTAGATTTTAGGTCTTGGGATCTAATTTTTATGTAATTTTGGCTTTTTCTCACTTCTTCCCTTCCCAAAGGACATCACAGACCTGTTTGGAGCAGATCTACCTGTTGAAGGTGGCAAGGGAGGAGAGTTTGCCTGGCGTGATGGCCCCTTGCTGGCAGCTCTGAAGGCCGGCCACTGGGTTGTGTTGGATGAGGTGAGGGGATTGTCCACCATGCCGAGGATGGGATGCCAAGTGTGAAGAGCAGCCAGATTTTTCATAGCTCTAGGGCATTTCTCAGTGGATGATCATGCTGTTGCCTAGTAAAGACAAATTCTCTAATGAAAAGAATCCTCCATGGTTTCTTTTAAAGAATAAAAATAGTCACTTACCAGAAAGCACAAATAGAAGCCCTTCTCTATTTGTAACCTACAAGCTATCCTGCTTTTGTAAGGTAATCTCCAGAGAATAACTGCCTCTTCACTAGTGTTTTCTTGTAGTCTCTGGCAGGCTTGCCGTTTGTATTTTATGGGTATTTTACAGTGTCAGGCACCTCATGTTTCATCAGTGCAACAGAGCCTGTGAAAGTTATCTTAAGAACACACGTACAAAAATAGAAGATAATCCATGTTATATGTGTATATTGGATAAACTAATGACCAGAAGAACAGAGCATGTTATGAGACCTGTGCTAACTGCTGAATCTCAGTGACTGGCAGGCAACTTGAGAAAGGAAAAATGATACACAAAAATAAAAAATCTAAGGTTGTGACTAAAGGAGTCAAATCAGTTTGGGATGTGCCGTGTTCATGCTAATTTAGGAAAAGGCTAAGAAGTAGTTGTGGAGCTTTAATTACTAGAGTGATGAAAGTGCTACAGATGAAACCTGACATAGGCCCAGCTGGTTCCCTGAGTTCAGACCCCTTTGGTCAGAGGGTGGTGCTGAGCATTCCTTTTCTGCAGAGCTGCTTCCTACTTACTAGAGATACTAAGGAGAGAGTTGTTTCCGCTTCCCCCCCACCTTCCCCAAAGATTTTTTGGAAAAGGATGTGTGATAGAATATTCATTATCCAGGAAAAAAGAATGCTGAGTTTTAAAGCTTAAGACTTCTGACCATATTCCAATTGGATGGAAATGCACCTCGGGACCACAAGGCACTGGACTTGCAATCATACTTCACCAGTTGGAAATATACAGAGGAGTTTGTGCTTGTGTAAACATGACATTTGAAATTGTAATGTAGTTTGTGTTTGCCCATTTGAATTTTACTGATTCACATTTTCCCAATTGAAATTTTCCATATTACCTAAAACCACTCATACTTCCCATCCCTGAGCTCTGAACTCAGCATCTGAAGACCTCCATTCAGCTCTGTTCATTTGTGGCACAAAATCCTTGTATTCATTCTTGTTCACAAAACTGTTAGTGAAAGTTAGCTATGTAGATCCATTTTATGTAGTTTATATCATGATTTTTAGGCCCATTTGGAGATTATTCAGCATTTGAGCTGGGAAAGATACCTACTTACCTAAGTATGTAGAGCGCTATCTTGCCTCATCTTTTAAAACCCCAGAGTACAAAAGAGATATATCTATGTATTGGCAAGTTTTTCTTTCTTTTTTTTTAATATATTTTATTGATTTTTTTACAGAGAGGAAGGGAGAGAGATACAGAGTCAGAAACATCGATGAGAGAGAAACATCGATCAGCTGCCTCCTGCACATCTCCCACTGGGGATGTGCCCGCAACCCAGGCACATGCCCCTGACTGGAATCGAACCCGGGACCCTTAAGTCCGCAGGCCGACGCTCTATCCACCGAGCCAAACCGGTTTCGGCGGCAAGTTTTTCTTTAAGCTATGATTTATGAAGTAGGTCAGTATGGGTGCACATAATAGATTCAGTTTAAATTTAGAGAAGATTTTAACTCCTTTTTGAAAAATTCAGCCTTAATACTTATTTAGTTTACTTAAATATTGATAATTTATATACATAAAATCCAACATGTATATGAAAGACTAGTAGGATGAATACACATTATCTATCACTCAGTTTAAGAAATAGGATGTTTCCAATACTGTTTGAGCTTCTTCTTACTGAAAATAACACTATCTTTTGTGCATATTATCCCTCTGCTTTTTGTTATGTTTACACTGCATATATAACACGTGTGTATTTTCTTCTCCAAATAGCTCAACCTGGCTTCTCAGTCTGTATTGGAAGGACTCAATGCTTGTTTTGACCACCGAGGAGAAATCTATATTCCTGAGTTAGGAATGAGCTTTCAAGTACAGCATGAAAAGACAAAGATTTTTGGTTGTCAAAATCCCTTTAGACAAGGAGGCGGGAGGAAAGGCTTGCCCAGGTCTTTCCTTAACAGATTTACTCAGGTGAGATATCCTGTTACACGGAGACCACATGTGGAGTGTTGGGAGTGATAAGACTGCTTTCTGAAATATAGTTATTAGGAGGTCCTCTATGAGAATGAGGGAGAATTATTTTAAAGATTTGTTTTTCAATTCCATGTCTATATGATGAATATCAATGCAACTGCTTCCCATTATCATTTTTCTTCTGGTGTGAATCCCTTATTTAATGTCCGAGAGGACGTGGTTTATTTTCAGTTGGAGGAGAGTAAGGTCGCCACTTTCTGTAGGATTCTATTACTGTTCTCAGGATTAAGGCCAGCGTAAACCTTTTCAAGTGTCTACATGATCTATGAAGACATTATAAGAACTTTATAATGAAAACAATGCATTTTAATTAAAGAAAAGTCAGAACAGAAAACTACCATGAAGAATTAAAAATCCAGTATTCTCCATACCAAAGTCAACTATAATTCATATTTGTTATATTTTCCTACTGCCTTTATTCACATTTGCAGAGATAGTAAAGAGCAAGAGAAGGCGAGCATATGCTCAATTATTTTAACATCTGTTTTTTAAAGTTTGGCTAATCTAGAGGTTTGGAAATGGCTGTAGATGTTAGTTTTATTTAATGTCCCCGTCCCTTGATAATTAAGAATTTCCTAAGTATTTTCTGAGAATAGTTTATTATGAAAAATTTCAGATATTGAAAAGCTGAACAGATTTATATGTTCATATAAATTCAGAATTTTGATAGGAAATTTAAAAAAAATATACTTAAAAATGAATTGCATTTATCTTCTTTTCATTAGTTGAGTGGAGCTAACAGAAAAAAACCCCCAAGTTGCTTTATATTTCAACTAGAGGCCCGGTGCACAAAAATTTGTGTACCAGTGGGGGAGGGGTCCCCTCAGCCTGGCCTGTGCCCTCTCGCAATCTGGGACCCCTCGCGGGATGTACACCTGCTGGCTTAGGCCTGTTTCCTGGGGAATCGGGCCTAAGTTAGTAGTCAGACATTCCTCTGGCAGCCCGGGAGCCCTAGGGAGATGTCCACTTGCCAGTGGGGAGCAGGCCTAAGCTACAGTCGGACATCCTTAGCACTGCTGAGGAGGGGGGAGATGCTCCCACCACTACCGCTGTGCTGGCAGCCACCAGCCTGGCTTGTGGCTGAGCAGAACTCCCCCTGTGGGAGCACACTGACCACCAGCGGGCATATCCTGCATTGAACGTCTGCCCCCTGGTGGTCAGTGTGTGTCATAGTGACCAGTCATTCCCAATTGTTCTGCTGTTAGGGTCAATTTGCATATTACCCTTTTATTATATAGGATAGAGGCCTGGTGCACGCGTGGGGGCCGGCTGGTTTGCCCTGAAGGTTGTCCCGGATCAGGGTGGGGGTCCCGCTGGGGTGCTTGGCCAGCCTGGATGAGGGGCTGATGGCTGTTTGCAGGCTGGTATAGCTCCCCCTAGTGGGGATCCTCACCCCATGGGGGTTTGGCCAGCCTGGGTGAGGGGCTGAGGGCTGTTTGCAGGCTGGCCACACCCCCTTCAAGGTTGGGGAGAGGGCCCCGCTGGGGCACCTGGTCAGCTTGGGTGAGGGGCTGAGGGCTGTGTTAGACTGGCCACGCCTGTGGGCTGGAAGCAGGTATCTGGGATTTATTTAACTTCTATAATTGAAACTTTGTAACCTTGAGCGGAGCTCAGGGCTGGCAGAGCAGGTGGGAAGCTTGGCTTCCTCCATCGCCGGGGGCAACCCAAACCTCCTTCTTGCTCCAGCTCCGTGACTGCCGCCATCTTAGTGACCGAGTGAGGAAGTGATGGTTAATTTGAATATTACTCTTTTATTAGATAGGAAGATTTTTATGCTTCTGTATCCTAAAAATGCAAGAAGTTTCTAGAACAGAAAAAACTGTGTGTGTGTGTGTTACAGCTGATGTCAAAAATTTTACATCAAAGCGTTAGTCATTTTTGGTGTTTAGTAAAGAGAAACTATAGTATCTCTCCATGTTATTTTTGGATTTTATAGGTCTTTGTGGATCCCCTTACAGTAATTGACATGGAGTTCATTGCCAGTACTCTGTTTCCAGCCATTGACAAAAATATTGTTAAGAAAATGGTTGCTTTCAACAATCAGGTAAATACCTATTTGTATTAATTATTCTTTATTTTCCTGGCTATAATTGAACTATTATTTTCTGGGACACTACCAAATTACCAGCCTTTCTGATATAAATCACAAGTTTATAGTGGGAGGGAAGCTACTAATTTGAGGGTTACAGTAGTTCAGTTTTGTTGTATGTATCAGTGTTAATGCTTACAGGATATTCCTTGCATTTAGAAGTTTGGATTGAAAAAGGAGACATCTAAATCAAGCCTATTCATTTCTGTTTCAGATTATGTATGCATTTGTAATATGAGAATAGTACTTAATGCTGTGCTTAGCAATGGGACATGTTTTTCAATAAAGGTATTTTCTTTTTAGATTGATCATGAAGTGACTGTTGAGAAGAAATGGGGGCAAAAAGGAGGACCATGGGAATTCAACCTCCGGGACCTTTTCCGCTGGTGTCAGTTGATGCTGGTTGACCAGTCCCCTGGCTGCTATGATCCTGGTCAGCATGTGTTTTTGGTCTATGGTGAAAGAATGAGAACCAGGGAAGACAAAGAAAAGGTGAGTATCACATTTTTGCTTTGTGTTTCTTACCATTTGGAAATTGATTTCTTCACAAGGGAGAGAAGGGGCATACTCACAAATATTAAATTTAGTAAAGCTGCTTGGAAATTTAGAAATTAAGGGAAGAGCCTATACATTTATCTACTTCAGGGTCTCACAGTATAGAGTAGTTTGCGTTGAAGTACACACTGTGCTCACTTAGCTGAATCCTCATGATTGCAAACTTTCCTATAACAGTATTGCCTCCAGTAATAAAGAACTAGGTTTCCATCCTCTTTCCATGCACAAAGGGATGAAGCAGCAGCAGGAAGAGACACCCACTAGGAGAGGAGGGCTTTTTTTTTTTTTAAGGGTTTTTTGTTTTTAAATAAGTGTTAGATTACACAGTATTTTATCTGAAAAGTGTAAGTGGATATAAAAAGAAGATAATCTAAATGGCAATAAAAATACCCCTTCATAAATGGAAAATAAAACTTGAATTCCCAGCTTAATAAACTGTAGCAATGTGTGCATTTTACTTTGTGGTAAAGTCTTTCACTGAATGCTCAAAATAGCTACAGGTGGCAGGTGCTGTCATGACCTCTTCCAGATGAGGGACCAAGGCTAAGAGTCATGGCGTCTCACAAGTAGCAAGTGGTAGAGCCAGCTCTCAGCCCAGACCTTTCCACATTGCTATTCTGCCTCATCACAAGCACTTAAAACTAATTAATTAACACAGATCTATGCTTTAGAAGCAGTAACTTCCTTCCTGAAATCTGACACTGTGGCTCTCTCAAAGTGCATGTACTTTTCACACCTTCGATTCTGCTGAGTGCCCAGATCCCTCTGTATGTGGTATTCAGCATCTAGTTAGATGGTAACAACTCATTTATTGTGTGTAAGTGGCTTTCTGTCATTATAATCAGGACAGAATGTTCAGCTAGTATTCTTTTTACAGCTTTATTGATATACAGTTCATGTACTGTCAACTAATATTTTAATTTTTTTATTCTCTTACTAGGTACAGTGTGTTCATTGTGGCTAGACACTGGCCAGTTGTTGGGTAATTGAGGCTGGTCAGATGGTGCATCACTGTAGGCTGTGGAAGGTTTCCACCACTCCTCTAATTGAGTTATTATAATTGACCAAATAGATTTTTCTGAAAAATAAAATAAAATGGTAGGAGACATAAGAATAGGAGAAAGGCTATAATAGCTGGAAGGGTTCAGATAAATTAGATCTGACTTTATAAAGCAAAATGAACCAGCTAGATTGTGAAAGTATTTATAATTTTTACTCTGGTGGATTATCAGGGCAAGGAGATGATATGTTTGAGAGTGGATTATAAAACCAGAAATTGCCTGGCTTTATAATCCAGGAGTAGGTTACAAGAGCAATTTAGCCTGTGCTGCATGTTGACCCGCATTCAGTGTTTAGCATTGATTGTGATTTTACCTTTTTTTCCTCTTAATATTTTCTGAAATCTATGTATGTATATATGTATGTATGCATGTTGAGATATAATTGACATGTAACATTAGTTTCAGGTGTACAACACGATTTGATATTTGTATACATTGCAAAGTGATCACCATAATAAGTCTAGTTAATATCTATCACCTTACATAGTACAAACTTTTTTTTTCTTTTGATGAGAACTTTTAAGATCTACTCTTAGCAACTTTCAATATATAATACAGTATTGTTAACTACAGTCACCATGCTGTACACTATATCCCCAGAACTTATTTATTTTACTAGAAGCACAGCGCATGAAATCATGCAGCCAACTGCTCAACCCCCTGCTTGCCTGGTTGCCCCATGAATCCTGTTTCTCAGTCATTTGGTAGCCCCTCACTGACCCCCCTGCTGGCCTGCTCACCCCATGCAGCCTGTTTGGTCGTCCATTCTGTTGTGATGGTCGCTTAGGCTTTTATTATTATAGATAGTCAACATACTATAGTGATTATGTACATTATAGCCCCATGACTTGCATACAATAGCATTATTTTTATTTTATGACTTCAGTCCAGTCTGCAATGATGTGTATAAGTGACATTTTGTTATGAACAAGCAACTTGGTGGCTGGAATTTTCCTGCTGCTAAGGTCTAAATTGGTGTTTTTTATTACTCCCCCATCACCCCTCCTCCTTTTCCCACCCCTGCCCCAACTGGTCAGTTTTAAGAAGTAAGGTTAATGGAAAGTTTTCTAACAGTGTTCCTGCTAAGGAAGAGATAACTAAATGTAAATAATGAGAGAAGTAACTTTTGGTTGTCAAGTTACATAAATATTTAGAACAGCGGTTCTCAACCTGTGGGTCGCGACCCCTTTGGGGGTCGAACAACCCTTTCACAGGGGTCGCCTAAGACCATCGGCAAACATATATATAATTACATATTGTTTTTGTGATTAATCACTATGGTTTAATTATGTTCAATTTGTAACAATGAAAATACATCCTGCATATCAGATATTTACATTACCATTCATAACAGTAGCAAAATGACAGTTATGAAGTAGCAACGAGAATAATTTTATGGTTGGGGGTCACCACAACATGAGGAACTGTATTAAAGGGTCGCGGCATTAGGAAGGTTGAAAACCACTGATTTAGAAGGATAATATAGTGCTTTTGGAGTCAGACTGCCTTAGATTTAAAATCAGTTACTGACCATGAGCAAATCATATAACTTGTGAATCTTATCCATCTGCATATATAAAAGCCTAAGTGACCAGATGACCAGTTGCTATGATGCACACTGACCAACGGGGCAGATGCTCAACGCAGGAGCTGCCCCCTGGTGGTCAGTGCACGCCCACAGTGGGAGTGCCGCTCAGCTAACCTAAAGGCACCAGACTCTGGGCTCACTGCTGGCAAGCATAGCTGCAGTAGCCCTAGTCTCTCCTACCTCCGTGGCAGCACTATCGAATGGTGGCTACTGGGTGGGAGGGGCAAGCACAGCGTGGCCTGGATGAGCAGGAGCAGAATGGCCGGCCCAGGCTAGGGCTCTTCCCCGGCTGCCTGCTGCTTTGCATACTACTACATCCCCCAAGGGGTCCCGGATTGCGAGAGGGCACAGGTCCGCCTGAGGGACCCCATCAGTGCATGAATCTGTGCACCAGGCCTCTAGTATCTACATAATAGGAAGAATATCTAGTTTGCAAGGCCAAAAGGATTAGAAGTAATCTCTATTAAAACACCCACTATAACATTTGGCACATAGTAGGTACTCAAGAAATAGGCATTGTTCTTTATACTATTCATATTGTTGACTTTGTCTATCTTTTTAGCCTGTATCTTGAATGATGAAAGCAGATTTCTTTTTTTATCTCTAGATTTGCCATTGTATTCATGCTTTATTTTAATTATGGTACATTCACACTGAAATCTCAAACAGTTTGAGACTATATGACTGGGTCTTTTCTTGAGCTCCAATTTGCTTTCATTCTAAAGAATTAAATGTAATAAGAGAAAATCCCAAAGGATAAAGATATTGTGAGTAGTTTTCTCACAATATTGTGACTGAAATTGCTGTGCATGTTTTCTAGAAGTATTTATTCTAGAAGGTGTGACTCAGAATTTGATGGAGTGATTTGTGTTTTGATTGTACACCATCTTCTTCCTTTAGGTCATTGCTATATTTAAGGATGTGTTTAGTTCAGATTCAAACCCATACATGGGAACCAGACTATTTCACATCACTCCCTATGATGTTCAGGTGAGACGACCAGCAAAATTCTCTGTTCTTTTACAATTCTCTGATTTCTCTTTGTCCCACTACCAGGCACACTTGCTAAGTCTCACTGGCATGTCTTTTTCAGCTGGGCTACTCAGTCCTTTGCCGTGGCGGCTATGTTACTCCCCCATCCCGCCATCCCCTGTTGCTCCTGCACCAGTCGTTACAGTCTCTGGAGTCGATTATGAAGTGTGTGCAGATGAGCTGGATGGTCATCCTTGTGGGCCCAGCCTCTGTGGGCAAGACCAGTCTGGTCCAGCTCCTGGCACAACTTACTGGTCACACATTAAAGATCATGGCTATGAACAGTGCAATGGATACGACAGAGCTTCTGGGCGGGTTTGAGCAGGTAATTGTCCAATTGGTAGTCTTCCTTGGTGGTGGTGACTATAAGAAGCAGCAGTCTTTGGCTCTGGCAAACGGCTATCATAAATCCACATGCTCGCTCTGGATATTTCAGGTTGACCTTATACGGCCCTGGAGGCAGCTGCTAGAGAAGGTGGAGAGCACTGTGAGGGCACTGTTAAGAGACAGCCTCCTTGTCAGTGCTGACGATGCAGAAGTAGTCCTGCGGGCCTGGAGTCATTTCCTTCTGACATACAAGCCCAAATGTCTTGGAGAAGATGGTAAAGGTGTCACGATGGAGATTGTCAACAAGCTGGAAGCAGTATTATTGCTTATGCAGCGACTCAACAATAAAATCAACTCATACTCCAAGGCAGGTGTGTGTTTGGACGTGTGTATCAGACATTCACCATTGTCCATTTAGTGTCCATTTACAGGAAATGTATTTGTAAATGTAATGCCCATAAATTTTTTAGTGATTATTAGCACCCAAATTTTGAAACTGTTGGTCTTAGAAAGTAAACTGAAGCTGATGTGCAGTATCCACAATTGGTGATCCTAAACAGGGCAACCAAGGAAGAAATTGGCTTCTGAGCTGATGGTTTATTTTGTGTATAATCAGTTGTAATGACAAAGCTATAAGCTGGTCTTATTGTTTATTGGCCTTTTGAGAAGACTTAACCCTACCAGACCGCTGTACCGATTTTTCGGTAATTTCCACACAAGATGGAATATTGGCGCTAGATGAAAGGTAGATGAAAGGTAGACCTATTTTCTACAATGTCTCCAAGTTTCATCTTATTCTAACCACTTGTTTGCATGTAACTAACATTTTTCTATATCATGTAGGTTTTTTCTCTTTAATGCTCAGGAGCCCAGGTATAGGGGACAGTTAGGTTCAGGGCCGCAGGCCTGGTAGGGTTAAGGGGGGGAAGAAAATGAGGAGACAAGGCTGGATGGGTCTAAAAACTTTGAAAATTCAGAGAGCAGCACAGAAAAGTGTTCAGAAAGGGAAGTCGGGGGTCCAAGAGGAAACCTCCCTATTCTATGTCCCACGTGGTAGCTCCCATGCCATCCCAAATCGCCACGTATGTGGCTACTGGCCTGTGTGCAGAGAATGAAATATAAATTATAAAGCACTAGGCAAGTAAATACCAGTTGTTACTATAATCATATCATTATAAAGGAAGCCTAGTTTAATGACATTATTTTGATTGTGCCAACTGATAACACTTGTTTGTAATAAGTGCAGTAATTCATGGGAGACATTATTTTCCTTCTGCCATTTGAGAAATTATAGCACATAAGGATTATTTATCCTTTCCACCCTCAAGTCACCTTTATCTACCCAGAATGCTATTAAGAAGTATTTTCTGCCCCCAAACCTTTTTTCTTATCTATTTTCTTTAAACAAAACCACAATTTTTTTCCTATTGACTCTTTTATGAAACTTTAAAAAATCAGGACAGGAGTTTTTGACTTTATTTTAATAAACTTAGTTTTTGTTGTTGTTTTTATTGTCCTGGTTTGAAATTAAGTGATGTGGCTGTGACATTTCAGAGTTTGCCAAACTTGTGGAAGAGTTCCGAAGCTTTGGGGCGAAGCTTGTGCAGTCATCCAGTGGCGGCAGCCATGGCACCTTTGAATGGGTCGACAGCATGTTGGTTCGGGCCCTGAAGTCTGGAGATTGGCTTTTGATGGATAACGTTAACTTTTGCAAGTAAGGACCGTCTGCCCAATCATGAGTGAGCCTGACTGAAATTTGGAATATGCTTGTCAGAGTAGATACTGAGGTAGAAGTTTTGGTGTTTTCAATACGCTGTTCCTTAAGTAGAAGTGCATTCTCAGCCCTGTTATGTAGATTTCTCCCTGTGTTGAACTTATTAGTTGGTAATTAGACAGCTGCAAGATTTTAGTGAGCTGAACTGAAGGCTAACAGAGTTGGATTACATTTCCAGTCGTCTTTGAGTCCTTATTTAATACCAGAATGACCAGATAATGGTCATTTTTGAGTGCAGATTTCTGAGTTAACCTTTAAGTGATAATGTTGGGAAGTGGGGGAGAGGGGAGGGGAAAAAGAGAAAAGAGTTACAGTTCAGGGAACTTGCTGTCGTTTTCCTTTATTTTTTCAGCAACTATTTTGTGATTTTACTGTGTATGGGTCTCTGGACTGTGTGCCTTGGAAGTGAAAGTGGGAATACATGGGGAAAGAGATCACAGTTCTATGTAGGGGAGTGACTTGTGCTGAGAGAAGACATGGGTCAGAAGCAGTGGGAGGCTTGTGTGAGGAAAGCAGAGTCAAGGCAGCATGTCAGTCTGTCCCCCATTTGAACTCTCTGTGCAGCCCGTCCGTGCTGGATCGTTTGAATGCTTTGCTTGAACCTGGAGGTGTCCTCACTGTTAGTGAGAGAGGAATGATAGATGGATCCACTCCCACCATAACACCACATCCCAATTTCAGGTATGTGTGCCTCTTAAGTTTCTGCCTAAGAATCTGACCGCCTTTAAAGCAGAGACTGACATTCAGTAGGCCCTTTTTAGGTATTATATTGACACACCCAGTCATAAGTATGTTCACCCATTCATTGATTCAGTTAACAAAGTATTGAGGCCCTGCTCTTTGCCATGCTCTGGGGATACAGTGGTAAATGAGAGATACAAGTCCTGCAGTGGGTTGGTGGTGAAGGGTAGAAGCAGGGAGACCAGTTACAAGCCTTTTGCAGTAGTTCAGGGAGGAGATAACGATAGTTTATACTAGGTGGTCAGATGAATAGGACATGTCAGTGGACTTGTAGGTTGAGAAAACGAGAAAGTAAGGATGCTATCTAAGTTTTTGGCTTGAGTAATGGATTAAATGGGCGTGTTCAGTGAGAAAGGGAAAAATGGCAGAGGAGCAGGTTTAGTGTGGGAGGGTCAGCAGGGAATCGCTGTTTAGTGTTGGAGATGTCCGATAGCTAGATGGAGGTGTAAACTGGACATTGAACGTATGATGCTAATTGTTTCAGGAAAACATAGTGCTTGTTTTTCTGCGCTCTGTAGGTTAGAATGATGAATTATTACTGCCTTGTTTGCGGAATATCTGAAAGTTAAGAATCTTAAAGTTCTCAGATATCACTAAAGGTGCACTGGATATACAATATTTAGTTCCTAAGGAAAGCAGGTTTACTTTAGAGAATGGATTTGCTGTATTTTGAGGAATTTGGGACTAGAAGATAGAATACACGTGACAATAGCAGACTTTTCATTCGTGGTGTCTCCCTTGATTAGTTCCCTGAAGATGAGCCAAATAAGATTTGCCCCCGGCTGTTGCTGCTGAGCCGCACCGTTGGTTGCGCTGGGATTAAATTCTTTTCCCTTTGAATTGCTGTGTTACTAGACTTTTTCTCTCAATGGATCCTGTTCATGGAGAAATATCCCGAGCTATGAGGAATCGTGGCCTTGAAATCTACATTTCAGGAGAAGGGGATGGGAGCATCCCAGATGACCTGGATCTGAAAGTTCTGCTGCACAGCCTTGGGTTGGTGGGGGACAGTGTGTGTGACACCCTCTTGGCTCTACACAGAGAGACCCAAAGTGCTTTTGTAGGTAAGGTGCTTGACTTCTAGGCCTCTGCCTCTGCAAGATTTTATTCCTGTGGAAATTCATGTGTTATTCTGCTTGGCTGCTAGTCCAGGAGTTCTCTCACGTTTAGTGTACATAGACATTACCACAAAAATGTAGATGTTCCAATAATCTCCTCCCCCCTAACAGCAGGTCTGGGTGAGGCACAGGAATTAAAAAAGTTTCCCAGGTAATTCTGATGCCTGCAATCAGAGGCCCACATGTTGGAGAATACTGCTTCAGGCACTGAGATTGTGAAGTTCATCCCTCATATCTTCAGGATCATCATATGAATTGTTTAGACAGACAGATGTTACTTCTTCTAAATGTCCAAGTGTACAAGAAAAGCAATTAATAACAGTAGTGATAATAATAAATGGAAACCTATTTATTGAATAACTATTAAGTGTTAGGTTCAATATTCATTACTTTTTTAGTATTCACATTAGTTCTGCAAGGCATGTCTTTTTATTTTACAGATAAGGCTAAGAGAAGTTGAGTAACTCATCAAAGCCAAATAGTAAATAATGACAGCTGGAATTTGAAAGTAGGTCTGTTGGATTTCAAAGAACGCGGTCCTTTATGAGGCCATGATCATTTTGCCCCCTTCATTGTGTGTCAACTTAATAGGAAGATTATATATGATCAGCTTTATCACACTTGTAGAATGTTGCCACAAGTCCATGTTGCCTCTAAAGTCCACTTAGGAGGCTTTCTAAAATAAGTATCTGGGTAGCTTTGAGTGAAATGAAGTTTGATGTGAAGGTGGAATTTCTCCATTTTCACTGGAGATTTCGCAGTCTATTGCTCATAGATGGCAATATTTTTTCTTTATAGGTTCTCCAACATCATCTATTTCAACTCTAATTCAGACAGCCTTACTCATTGTGCAGTACCTGCAGCGAGGGCTGAGTTTAGACAGAGCCTTTTCTGAAGCATGCTGGAAAGCATATGTCCGCTCCCAGCACTCACCAGCAAACCAGAAGGTACCATGAAGTGTTTCAAACTGCTTTCTAAATTATAACACTCTACATTATTTAGTACAAGGAAATTCTTTTCTGTTGATGATAAATTTAATGACCTGACCATTGCAGTTATTCTCTAGTAGAGATCTGGTATCCAGGTACTTTTCTGGAAAATAGGTTAAATGTATTATATGCTTGAAATTTATCATCAGAAAAAGTAGCAGTTAGCTTATAATGTACATTTTTGATAATAGCACATATATGTTGGTGCCTATACATGATGCGTTTTTATCTCGTACCAGCTCGGGCAGGCTTTACTGGAGAAACATATTTCTTCTCTGCAAGCACATGAAACCTGGGGTAGCTCCATTCTTGCTGTGGGGCTGTGGCCAGATTCTCTACCCTCAGCTCTCTTTGCTATGGAAGATTCTCACCTCTCTATCGTACGAAGTGATGGACAGATCTTAGCATACTGCCTCAACAGGATGAGCATGAAAACGAGCAGCTGGGCAAGGTTAGCAGAGCCTTGAGCCCGTGTGTCTCTGGCATCTTCACTGTATTGTTTGTTTTTTATGTAATGTTTGTCACCCAACATATTAAGACCAGAATGTTATGTGGCCATTTATTACCATATGTCAGAGTTTCATTGTGATATTGCTCTCTATTTGTTATTCATTCCGTATATATTTTAATTGTCCTCTTCAGAGGGGACTCATCTTTTCCCCAATACCTCTTTGATCTATTATCTGTATAGTTATTTTCCTGGTTCTTTGAAATGTAAAATGAAAGTTCATTCTAGTACTGACTTTGCATATTCCGATGAATTTCAGGATTCAGCCTCTTACCTTGCCAGACTTAGAGAAAATTATGCAGTCCCCCAACCCCGAGAGCCTGAAATTTAGTTCTGTTGAAGTGGATACTCTTTGGATCGATGAACCAGAAGTTCTGGCCATGGCTGTTAAATTGCTCATAGAAAGAGCAACCAATCAAGATTGGATGCTCAGAGTTAAGTGGCTTTACCATTTAGCCAAGAATATACCACAGGGGCTTGGTGAGTAGAAAAACTTAATTTGTATAATGAGTGAATTTACACCTCTCCTGTTTTAGTGCCTCAGCAGCTATGTTATTCTAACTACACTGCTACTTTACACAGGGGAGATCACATAGCAAGAAATTTGTGACCTAGCATTACTGTTTGTGTAGTTGTTAAAAAATTAAAAATCATATCTGCCCTTAGGTGTGACCCATAAGAAACTTTTTTCCCATGTAATGCTTAGCATTTCAAGGTCTGTCCACCTTTTTGTCAAATTCAACAGGAAAATGTACTATATTATGTAACTTCTTATTTTCTTGAACATCCTGCTTCTTGTATAAATAATGCTACACAACCATTTTATCTGGGAAAGGTGTTGCTTTTGGTGAATTCATTTCCCCTAGAAGTACCTAAGAGATTTACTAAATTCCAGGTGCTCTAAGTTGTCACGCTTACTATTTTTGTACTTTTTTCATTCTAATAGATGGAAAAGCAGCAGTAACAACAGCACATGGGTTGTACAGTACAGGACATGGAATTTGTTGGTAGAACTTGTTTAATTAGTAATTAGTTTACATGAGCCTTTCTGTTCCATGAGAATTTATAGATAAGCCAGTGAATGTGTATATTATTGTAGTAATTGTGATCTGTCTAAAAATGGTTCCTGTGTGATAGCTACTAGCCACAGGTCACTGTAAAAGGTAACTATGAACTGATTAAGATGAAATAAAATCTAAAGTCCAGTCCCTTAGTTGCACTGACCACATTTCCGTTGCTAACAGGTGACTAGTGGCTGCTATAGAACATTTTTGTCATTGTGCAGAAAGTTTGGCTGGACAGCCTGCTTTAGATACTGAAGTTTGCTTCTCCTTCCTCCACAGAGTCAATACAGATTCATTTGGAAGCCAGTGCTGCGTCTCTTAGGAAATTTTACTCAAATTCTCTCTCAGCTGGGATCAGTAATGTCATCAAAATATTACAACCAAATATAACAGGTACTGCACCTGATTTGATTTCCATTGAGTTCCCAGGGAAAAGACCTGTCAGAGCTACCACTGCAACATGGTATTTTCTAGAACACTCAGAGCATCCAGATGCAAATTCCACTTCTTTGTCTGAAATCAGCCATTTATCCTTCAGTTTCTGAAAAAGGATGGTACACAGTGAAGTGGGAAGAACATGGGCGTTGGAAGGCTGGGCTCTGGTTCCAACTTGTCCACAGACTGCCTTGTTGATTTGGGGCCCATCATTCATACTCACTGCCTGTGTTTGAAAAACATGGAAATTAAATTCACTTATATAGGGTCCCTTCTACTTACAGCATTCTGTTACTTATTAGTACTATTAACAGAAAGATTTTTAAACTAGAAAGCTATTAGACTTGAAGGGAAAATAAGGATCAATTGCTTAAGGAAATATAAACCCTTGATAAAAGTTATAAAGCCTTAAAAAAAAAGTCATAAAACCATAATGATGAAAGAAATAGCCATCCAAGCTGTCTAATCAAATGAAGTATTCAAAATTTTTTTAAATCAATGAGTGAGATAGAAGACTTGCTTACTGGAGCAGAATAATATAAAGTTGATTGAATATAAGTATTAATAAGGAAAATAGGTGACATTTTCACAGATACAGGTTTTTTATTTTTCACCCCCATCTTCATTTGTTGTTGATCAAAATATATACCATTAGCCATTTGTTTTAGAAAAAAGTATGCATGATGCCTTTGTGCTGCTAACCAATTCCCTTATGTACACTAAAGATAATGAGGTGAATGATTGTGAAGCACTCAAACAACAGAAAACTACTGTAAGTGGTCAGGTTGTGGCTGAACTAAGTAGTGGCTTTCCAATTATGAAGTAACTTTGGTTTTTGAGGATACAATTCTAGAGTAGAGTAGCAGGTTCCCTTTTTAGCAGACACCACTTGCTCACTGTTGGAACATAGTCTATCTTCATCTTCCTTTTCAACTGTGTTGCTCTGGATTGAGTAGTCTTACTGGATTTTGAGATATGGCTTTCTTCCTTGATGTGCCTTACACAGTTGGCATTTGTCGTCTGCTGTATGGCGGAAGTCTTTAAAATTTGAAGTACTGACACGTCTTCCGCAGCCACCTTCAAGCTAATGTTAGCATTGTTTTGTCTTCACCTCCTTCCCTCCGGTTCTCACAACTTCTGGGGGGAGGGAGGGAGATCAGAGACTGATCACTGCTACTTGACAGAGAAGTGCCAAGTTTGAGCCAAAGGAGCTCAGTGAGGTGTCAGCAACAATGAGAAATGGCTTTTAGGTGAAATAACCTTGTTTTCTTATTGAAGCAAATAATGAGATGTATTCATTCATTTTCTGCTATGTAAGTTAGTTTTCTTGTGTTTAATGGCAAAAGATTGGGTAATTAAGCCCATGGATTATTTTTCTGACCAGTAGTAGGATCTGAGCAAGTGAATGCATTGGTTGGAATGTTTATGTTCCAGTAATGATTGCCTTTATATCCTACAGTGGAATGAATTTTCAGGGCTGGTAGAAATTTTGCATTTAGAAAGGAAATAACATAAAAGCTGTTGAACCCTACTTTTCTAGTATCATGTGCTGAAACCAGCACTTCTCTGTGCCACCTCTTCCCCATCAGGACTGAATGTGGTCAACTTAAAACAATGAAAGCTCTCAACAGAAATTTGCCAGGTTAGGAGTTTAACGCCAAAATTCTTTTTTTGTTTTGTTTTATTAACCAGAAGAATTTGTGATTCCTTTGGACCCTCGATGGAATATGCAGGCTTTGGACATCATTCGAAGTTCGATGGACTTTGACCCACAAATGGACCAGTCTGAGCAGCTCTTTGCCCTTTTAGAGTCCATTGCAAACAAGTAGGTGAAGCCTGCTGTTCTGGGCATTGTTTGCCTCACTGTACACTCTGGCTTCACAGGTGACACCTTTCCTCAGTCTCTGTCTTACGTTTGTTTACTCTTCTGAACCTAATACCTGCTCCGTGATGGGAGTGATTGCCTCTATTACCACTTCTCCTTTGTGCTCAGAAAAGTAATTCTGACTGTGATGTCAAAATTCCTATAATTCTTGCAGGTTCTTAATAATTAAATAGGGTGCTTTAAGAGAAACATCAACTTAGCATTAATGATGGGATATATTTTATGGGTAATTCCTTATCATTGGATAGTCATGTTTCTACTGTTTTCTGGTTATGGTTCCCTATAGCTCCTCCCATTTCAATCTACCTGTTCTCTCACATGTCCTTTCCTTAATCATCTGTCTGTCACATCATTTCACTTCCTCAAATGCTAGAGACATACATGCTTCCGTTCACACTCACATATAAATGTACCTAATTGGCATATAAGCTAGCCTTTCCTCACCTTTTAATGTAATGACCAGCAGTTTCTTTTAATTGGCCATCAATGTAATACAGTCTTTAAAATAATATTGTAATTGAAGTATAATGCACATTACAGAAAAGCACACTTAATGGGTATGCATGGTTTTGATGAGTTTTCCCAAAGTGAACTCATGCATGTGATGAGTGCAAGCACCTCAGAGACCCCCTTGTTTCCTTCTCTAGTAACTCCCCTAAAACTCCCCAGGCGACTTCTAACACCACAGATTAATTTTATGATGCTCACTTTTTAAGGTCCCAGTACAGTAACAGAGCAACAGAATGAGGCCTGTACGTAGACACAGCTTTTTCCAGCCATCTGTCCTCCTCCCTCCTACTTTGTTGTCATCACTCTCAGCTGTTTCTTTAAGTCCAGAATTTGTAGAAGCAGGAAAGGAATGTCAGGTTGAAAGACATTGATGTTTCAAGGATTCTCAGGATTCAGCAGATAGAGGATGTGATTGAAAAGTATTATTCATCAATAATGATTTGTTATGTTATTGAATCTCATTTCAGGACAATCATATATCTTGACCGGGAAAAGCGAATTTTTACTGAAGCAAATCTGGCTTCTGTTGGTGGCAAAAAGTTAAGAAATAGTGTTCTGAGAATGTCCTTTGAATTCCATAAAGGTAAGAACACTACCTTTCGTATTCTTCAGTTACACATCTGATTGCAAAATGTTGCTGAAGTTAAGAGACATATTGATGAACTGTTGTCATTTTATTGGTTCCTTTTGATTTGCTGGCCTGATTTTAAACATGTTCCATTACTTAGTACTAGTGATAGACTGCTTTTAATATGTCCTTGGTTTCCTTTACTTTTTATAACAACTGTATGCCATGTAGGCTCCATATTCTAAAAGGGGAAAGGGAGGCACAGAGATGCTCAAGGTCACATCTCTAGCAAGTAACAGTTAAAATGTGAAACCTAGGTCTGTTGGCTCAACAAGTACATGCTCATAAATATTTGGTTATAGGTTCTTTCTTCCTCCGTACTTTATTTTTTTAAATTGAAAAGATATCCATGCTTGTTGCGGAAAATTCAAACTAAATCCTATATAATAAAAGCCTAATATGCTAAGTGTCCAGTCGTCCGTTCAGCCAAAGTGTAATATGCTAATGATATGCTAAGGCCGCTCAAGTACTCAATATGATGTGCACTGATCACCAGGGGGCAGACAGTCACCCAATCAACCAGTTGCTCTGACATGCACTGATCACCAGGGGGCAGATGCCTCGACCGGTAGGTTAGCTTGCTGCTGGGGTCCAGCTGATCGGGACTGAATGAGATGGGCCGGACATGACCTGGAGCCCTCCCGCGGTCCCTCCCCAGCTGGCCAACCTCCTGTGTCCCTCCCCAGCCCCTGTCGTGCATCGGTGAGGTCCCTCAGCCTGGCCTCATCCCTCTCGCAATCCGGGACCCTTCAGGGGATGTTGGAGAGCCAGTTTCAGCCCAATCCTGCAGGCCAGGCCGAGGGACCCCATTGGTGCACGAATTCATGCACCAGGCCTCTAGTAGAAACATAAAATTGCAGAATTCAGCTTTTAAAGCTGTTACTGTTAATAGTACATTTGTTTGTATCTTCTCATAACTGTGCTCTCTGTCCATTCAAACATGTATGCACTTAGTACTTCTTTTGTATTTAAATGAATACTTGTTTAAAATATGTATTACTCTATCATTTTCTTTTTTTCATTAGGACAGTGTGAATATCTATAGCAGTGTGAGCATCTATGGCGAACCTTTTGAGCTCGGCGTGCCAGCATTTTGAAAAACCCTAACTTAACTCTGGTGCCGTGTCACATATAGAAATTTTTTGATATTTGCAACCATAGTAAAACAAAGATTGATATTTTTGATATTTATTTTATATATTTAAATGCCATTTAACAAAGAAATATCAACAGAAAAAAATGAGTTCATATGTC